TCAATATGGGTGTTAAAGGATTACAACTGTGCGGTAATTCAATCATGCCCTATTTATTATTTTATGGTCAATCGATTGCTGATAAATATGCAACACATGCTGAACAATACAATCAAAACATAAATTCGCTTGGACAAACATCAGCTAACTTAGCGCGACATTCCATCTCAGTTATGAAGCAACATTTGGCTACAGCATTATTAATATGCGTACAAGGTGTAGATTTGAGAAGTAAATTAATACAAAATACGTATGACCCAAGAAATCTCCTATCCGAACAAACTCGTCAGATATATCAAGCGATACGTGATCTGATTCAAGTACCAATTCGTCAAGATAAACGTTATATATGGAATGATAACGAACAATCATTAGACGAGCATATTGCCATTGTGGCTCAAAATTTAACTAATGAAGGCTCATCATTATTTAAAGCAATCCAACCAACATTCAAACAATTAATTGATGATAGACATTCTCATTAATCGAGATGAGGAGGATAAACTAACTGATGTACTTGTTCTGATAGACAAAGGATTTTTTCAATACATTGATCTGACACAAACCACAACCAAAAGTTGATGTTTATTTAACGTGTTTTATCGCGATTCCGAATACGATATTTGTATTGCTCAAAAGTTGATGTTTATTTAACGTGTTTTATCGCGATTCCGAATATGATATTTGTATTGCTCAAAAGTTGAGTTCTGATCGAGAAAATTGAGAATTATGGGCAGAATTCTGATTTTTTCTCTCTAATTTAGAAAAAATGAATTTTCTCAGGAACGAAACAAAATTTCAAAAACTGGACGTATAATTTTCTTCGTTGTAGAAAGGCGAATCTAGCCATGTGTAAATATCGACGTTTCGATCTCAAGGAAAACCTGTGAAAACTGTGCGAGGTGAGGATGTCGGGTTTGAGCTGTATCGGTTTCGAGCCTTGGGGAAAATCCATTTTTCGTTCTATAGCTTTGAGAGCTAGTTTTCTAGATTCAGTTTTCAATTCTGAATCCGAAAAACTGAGCCTCAAAGCTTGAAACTCCAAACTGGAAAAACTGGGACCACTTTTTCAAAACCTCGCTTTTTGCGGGTTTTTGATATGGTTCCAGTATTTTGAGCATAGCTCAGTGAGCAAAGGGCTTTGGGACACGGAGAACGCATATTCATGATTGCCATCAAATTCTCTATCGAATGGTGTATACAACAACGAAAATTTCACTATTTCTTCTATTCTAAGAAAAGCTGTCATTTACACATGACCTTAACTTGAGATTAAGCGAAATAACGTTTATATGAAATGTCATAAGTGATAGCTAGTTTTAAAATGGTTGATAGTAGCAAAAGTAAATGTGGCTCATAGTTGTCAGTATTCTCCCTCATGTTAGGCACCAGAGAGCTTGAGAAAGTCTTGAAATGACTGAAACTTCATCAATGTTTAAAGTTCAGAATAACAAGCAATAAAAAGTAGAATCAGGTGTATCAATTGGTTAATACATTTTCCGAGAAGAATTTTTCAAGAGCAATGAACAAATCCATGCTTGTAGTGAGGATCAGAAACAAAATATTCGAAGTAGAACGAGTAAAAAGGATGTTGAATTCAGAAAGAGAAAAATAAGCGAGGAAAAAGCGACAAAGAGAAAAGACAAATAAGAATATAATAGATAAGGAAAGAACCGAACAAGTGCTTTATTGATGTAAGATATAGTCGCTATTTTAGCCACAATACTTATTTCAAGTTGGATGTTACAACTAAATCAGGTGCATCAATTGCTTAATAACTATATTTTTTGAGGACGATTATCAAAGTCAGGATTTGTCATTCATGATTTAGAAAACAAAAGATTAGAAGTTCGTGCAGCATGGCTGTATTAGCTAATGGCTAGGACAACGTATTTACAAGTGCCGCGTTCGAGTCCATCTAGACGACAGCAGCTATGTATGGCCTTGGGCAAGGTATTCATGTTCATTGCCTCAGACCGTGACCTATAGATGAATGTAATGGGGCTTGCCTCAATTTTCAGCTGGTCACGTGCTCTGGGTTTAAAAAGAAAAAAGATTAGAAGTAGAATGAATGAAAAGATAAGAAGAAAAAATTGATCAGGTGCGGCGTCTAATTGGTTGTTGCTTACCTTTTGCTGCCGTGCGTGCTCCGGTAGCATCCAGTTTGGCGGCTTAATTATTATAGACGATTTCGTAATGTTGGGCGCAATCGGTGCTTGTCGTT